CCCGACCCAAAAAGGAAAGGCAGGAAAAAGAAAATGGATTGAGGTTCTTCATTAAAAACATTTACAATAAGGAGGAAAATGGCTGTGAACAAACTGCTACATAAAAGGGACAGGACCCAACAAAACATATGGCACATTATATGACCTTGTAGAACCTTTGACCTTGATTTATGGCCTTGACCTTAGAGCTGGGGTGATAAAAGATTATTTGACACGCCCTCTAGTAGTGGTACAAATTCATATGAAGTTTAGTAAAATTATCTAGGGTGGATCAAAAGTTTCAAGTGAGACAAGAAAAGACCTCCTTTTAACTTTGACCTTGAGGTGTGACTCTGACCTTGGAGCTGGGGTGATGAACAGTAGATGCATGACTATGTCTATCAAGTTTTGTTAAACTGTCTTGAGCAGATCAGAAGTTCTGGACAGACGATTTAAATTTTACAGATGTATAAAATTATAACTTCTATTTCTTCTTTATGCTTCTTATAACTTCTAACCTGAGACCATTTTAAACGAAGGAGGTTCTTGTTTGGCTTGCCTGGAGGAAAACCTGTCCTTTTGTTCATAATCTGTGCTCTATGCCTGAAGTCATGGCTCATAAAGTACCAACTATTGAAAATAATGACTTAAACAACCAGAACTCTTCTTTAGTATTCCTGATTAAAAGTTTCAGCAGATTCAAAAAGTGGTCGAAGCTGCGATGTGTTGAACTTTTCCTTTAACCTGACACAAACAAAATCTGACACGGTTAAGTCCTCTGGATTTAACCTTGCTAGATTTATCTACCTGGATTATTGAGCAGCATCAGGACTGAAGTCATGATTGGTTAAGATTTAATAAAACACACACTGTAAAAGTTGATTTATTCTGCTTGCTAAATAAAAAGTTTAACCTAAATTTAAAAAATTTGAGTGAGATTTTATTTAAATGGCTACTAATAGAAAACAATCAGTAAATTAGGCTGCACCATTCTCTACAGCTAATTGACGTCTTTTGGTTTGCTCACATAAATTCCCCGTTTTTGCAGTTTTGCTAAAAGAACTCGTGCGCGCCGAGCTTCACAGACTAGCTGCTGTGAAGCACCGAGTTCTCCAAGGTGAAGTCGTACTGAAAACCAGCGAGATTGTAGTTGATGTCACGGCGCAGCAGCACGTCCGGGACCATGGAGAATCCTGCCTGCAAGGCCAGCACATGGGGGGCCAAAGTGAAGGGGACGTCTCCGAGGAGATCTGGGAGTGTGGAAGCAGCCTCCACGGCTGGGGGCGCCCCTGCTGCTGCGCTGTGGTGCGAAGGAGGCGGCACGCCAGCTGCTGGACGTGGAGCTGGCCAGGAAGGCTGGAAGTCAAAGGAGACGGCGTCATTAAATTTACAAAGAAAATCTTGGAGAGGTTAACTGAATATATTTATAACGGCGTAAAAAAAAAAAAAAGATAGTTATCGTCCGCCGCCAACAGCGATAACGTTTTACTGTGTCCACTTGTGTGCGCGAGAGTTTCTACTGTTAGCAAAATATCTAAAGCACTCACTGGATGTACATCTACAAATAATTAGGTTTTGGGTTTTGTTTTTTTTTTTTACAAAAAAGATGGCCGCCACAGGGTTTCTGCAGGAATCGACCAATCAGATTTAATGCTTTTAACGCCAAGTTGATGCCTTTTGGACAATGAAAACATGAACGTCACAAGTTTTTGATGTGCCATTTTAATGCAGGGCGGCATGGTGGATCAGCTGGTAAAGCTGCCACCTCTCAGAAGGCCGCCAGTTCAAATTCTGGCTGGGGGCCCTTCTGGGTGGAGTTTGCATGTTCTCTCCGTGCTGCGTGTGTTTCCTCCCACAGACCAAAAACATGCATGTTGGGCCGATTGGTAACTCTAAATTGTCCCTAGGTGTCCCTGTGATGGACTGGAGACCTGTCCAGGTGTCCCTGTGATGGACTGGAGACCTGTCCAGGTGTCCCTGTGATGGACACAGTGATGCTGGAGATAGACATCACACAGCTACAGATTCAGGAAGACTTTCCAAACTCTGAGCCCAAACTGATGAATCTGTTTATAAAACCGTGACTTTCCTCATCACACTCAAATATGTCTGTTAGCAAAACATCTCGTGAACCACTGGGTGGATGTTAATGAAACTTCCAGAAAGTAATCACTGTGTGTTCGACTACGAATGCTTAACGTTTGTAGTCAAGCCAGTTCAAGATGGCTGCTAGAGCTAATGGACCCAACACAAAGTTAGCTACAGCTCAGTTAATGCTTCAAATATAAAGCTCAGGTTTGGTGTAGCAGTAGCTGAGCTTTATTCTCAATATTCTCTGAGTGCTACACGACCCAAACAGCTGCAACTCTGCCTGACTGTTAGCAAAATATCACAAGGTTTGACCCAGCTCTGCCTTAGTTTAGAACAGTCTTCTGTAAGATTATCCACACGATGAAAACGGGCGTAAGCTCCGAGGGGCTGAGACGCTTCACGTCCAAACTGTAGCGCTGTGCCACGATCTCTTTCAGCTTCATGGTACCGGAGCAGAACCAGACTCAGCGGTGAACCCGAGAGCTCATAGCCGGCCATCGAGGACCTCTAAGCGGGGACGCGCTTGTAAGTAAAATTTAGTAGCTACATATAAATATGTTGTTAAAATTAGAAGGTTTAAGAGTTTAGAACATTGTAAGTATATGGGGTTTCTAAAGCCTTAATATACATATACATATAAATATTAAAATAAATATAACGTCACTACTTTGCAGAATTTCTTTTATTGCGGGCGGGTTTGGAACCGAACCTCCGCAATAAACGAGGGACTACTGTCTATTTATTTACACAACGCTCCAGTAGGTGCAAACAATGTCCAAAAACAGAGACCATTCTTGTTCCGTTACAGTTTCCTCCCAGTTTTTAATAATTTCAACGCACGATCAAAGTTCAACAGAGCTGCTAAACATCACAACCACTCGGCTCACCTTTGACGGCTGCACGACGACGACGTTCGTTGAGGGCTGTGTGTTGTTCATTACAGGCATCCTCTGCCTCGGCTCTTCAGTCGTCTCCCCTGCAGGTCAAATCAAAGATGGATTCACTGGAAAATGATAGAGCAGCAAGAAGTCTAACGAGATGTGTTTGCTCTAATTCTTCAAGAGGAATACTTCAAAATAAAGGCCCAGCATTCCTGCGTTGAACGTTTATCATCCGCCGCCTTTCATGCCGGAGTTTTAGACCAAAACTGCCTCATGTCGAGGAACGACATGAAAATACACATTTTCATGAGACGTCAGGCTCAGAGTGCGTGTTGTGAATGACTCTCAGCTACTACTACAATAAGCTGTAGCTCATTGGCAGTGAGACGACTTCTGTTGTGACTTGGCGCTATATAAATAAACTGAATTGAATCTTGAAAACTGACTATAAACTATAGGCTTTTTGTGTTTTGTAAGATCGCTTGTCTTAAAACTCTCCAGAACTTTACGGCCATTTATGCAAATGTTGCATTGTTATCAGTTCTGCATGGCGTTCTTACCTGGAACGAAATGATTAACAAGTGCAAAAAAAAAAAAAAAATGCAATCACTGTGCGAGAGGTAGGCCTGTTGCGATAAACAATAAATCAATTAATCGCACGATAAATGAAAATTATCGACCTCCTTTTCATTTATCGGCTTCATCATTTCTTCGTGTCTCTCTCTCAGTACTGAAGACACTGGATGACAAAAGACTCAACTCCGGTGCTCTTCACTGACGTTTCTCTTTAAAATCCGTTTTAATCGTCCAAAATCACATTTTGGGATCGTTAAAAGCAGCTAAGCTACGAGCTAAGCTAACAGGCTGACCTCGGGAAAAAGCCGCCGTCTCGTTGAAGCGCCAAAATTCACGGTTGAAACCCGTGCTTTCATGTAAAAAGTTGTTTTTCTCTGCAAAAAGAAGCTGAGAACTTGTTTACTGTTTTTTATTAAAAGCTTTGAGTGAAAAATGCTACGCTAAAGAGCTCAAACCACACCGAGCGTCCGCCATTTTGAGAACCGAAGAGACAGCTCATGTCACGTCAAGGGGCCTCCTTCCCATTTTTCTTAAAGAGACACGCTGCTCGCTCCCTCACTATCCATCCTTCGGTTCAAACAGCCTTACACTGCCATCCAGTGATCAAACAAAGGTAGTACACTCAAAATTAACCAACATTTCTTCTTAAAATTGACAATAATTATTAATTATTGTCAAATTTCAAACAACATTATCGTTTATCGCAATAATTTCTGAGACGATGAATCGCTCAGCAAAATTTATTATCGTGACGGGCCTAGAGAAAAGCGGGGTACACCCTGGACATGTCTCCAGTCCATCACAGGGACACATAGAGTTACCAATCAGCCTAACATGCATGTTTTTGGTCTGTGGGAGGAAACCGGAGTACCCGGAGAAAACCCACGCATGCACGGAGAGAACATGCAAACTCCATCCAGAAAGGCCCCCGGACCGGGGTTTGAACCAGGGACCTGCTCACTGCGAGGCTGCAGCTCTACCAGTTGAGCCACCGTGCTGCCTTTCAGCAAAAGTCAAAACTAAAAATGGTTTTGACTGAAACTGTGTATGAAAGTGGCTTGTAGACTCAGTCATCCAGGTAGATAACAACAAAAAAGGATAAACTGTATCTGGACCAGTTTCTTTAAGTGAGAAATGTCTCTTAAAGAAACCGGTCCAGATGACACGATTGAACCTTTTCTGTCGAGTATGAAAATGTGTTTGTGTGTCAACAAAGTCTTCATGAAACACTAGAACTTTAATGAAACCTGCAGGAAGTGTCACTGGATGAATTCTTTACAACTTGTTAGACTGCTGGAGGACACGGGGACCACATCTCCTCATTCTGCTGATTTGATTCTCTCTGCTCTACAAATGATGGACTTTTGGAGTCAAAATGGCCGCCACAGCACGATTTATTCAAGACCTCAGCAAATGACATCAACATCCACACAAAAAGGACTAACGTATCAATAAGAAGACTTGTTAAAGAAGAAGTAGCAGCACTTCTTCACCCTTGTTAAGAAATGGCACTTTAAATAAATATATTGTGCAGTTAAATTATTGCTTTAACTAAAGAATGTGGAACTCAAAGACCTTTTAAACAAATCTCTGTAGTTCTGTTTAAACATTCAGAAAATAATAACGTGAGAGCTTAAATCCCTCGTTCCTAACATTTGCTTCTGTCAGACGTCTACAGTAACACATTCCAACACAGCATGATAGCGCCACCTCCATGTCTGCTCACAGGAATAGCATTAAGGTGTTCAGTGTCTGTTACTGACCAAACAGGACTTTCACCTTTCCATCCTTTATTTATTCAGGTTAGTTCTATTGAGCCCAGAGGACTCGTTTACAAGAGAGACCTGTTTTTAACAGAGTGATGACAACGGTAGACAATCTTAAAAGAGGGCGTATGAATTGAAAAAACAATAAACGGAAGAAAATTATGTTAAAAAAAGGTAAACTGGTTGTTCGCTGGTTCATTAAGACGCCATAAAGACAATCAAAGACAGCGCGGCTGTTCCTGTCATTGTTAACGGGAACATTAAGAACCTTCGTGATGTGGAGTCCACTCACCAGCTTACTGGTGTTGATGGTGTGATGGCTGCACGAGGATTGCTTGCAAACACTGCTGTGTTTGTCGAATACTGGGTGGACATTTCCAGAGCTTGGCACTCCATTCACCTACTTTCACCACCGTCTTATCTACATGCTGGAGAGCGTTAGCTCCCATCCTGAGAAAAAGGTGTTTGATTCTCTGTCCAGTACCTCAGATGTTGTAATGACCTCAAAGCACGTGCAGGACACTACAGGACCTTGGAACATGATCATAAGGGAGTTTCATAGTTTGTGAAACACATGGCTTTAAAGCCAGTTCCTGTGAACTCCACAGAGGTCTGGTTAAGTCTTAGTTTCGGACTAGGCTTAAATCTTTACATTTTGATCAATCCTGTTTTTAGGGTTGGTTTTCTAAACTATTCATTATTTCCGCTGCTTTTGGCTTAGACTGCTGGAGGACAAAGTGACCCCGTGTCCTCTCTTTGCTGTCTTCAACCTCTCTGCTCTCCATGCTTGCAGTTGCACATGCAATTATTGCTGCCAACGTGCAGTTCTGTGTTGACTGTGAAGCCTGGGTCGTGTGTCGTAGAGCAGAAGAGTCACAAGATGCCTCAGATCTCCAGCAGAGTGTATTTAGCTGAAGGTCAGCAAACACTGCAGCTTTAACAAACTGTTAAGGACTTGGACACGTCAGACAGATGTTGAACTGTACATTTTCTTGCTGCAGCAGAATTGACGTTGATGAAGAGACAGCTTATGGCTGAAAAAAGACGTCACATCTTTTTCCACAGCTTCTAATGCATACACATGTATAAACTGTGTGTCCGCAGTTCAGTGCAGTGAGGAACGTTTAGACCTCCATGTTGGAGAAACAACCTCTGCACAGACGCATGGCTCAACACCGGAGAGGTTGCTCTTCAGGACAAGACTCATCGGTCCACCTACATGTCAAGGATAATAAACATTCTGCTGAGGACCAACATGCTCATAGAGACAGATGGTTTGAGAGGGGAGTGAAAGAAGCTATGTGTATGAAAAACAAGAAAAAAAAACAGCTTTAAAACAGAGGAGGAGGTCTCAAATTTCAACTTTCACTCACAGCGCAGCTTTAGACCTGATTCCAGGTCAGTTTCACTCCAATTCACACCTTCATGCAGGAGACCTAAACTTCTCTGTGAACCAGACAAAGAGCCTGGCGAGCCTCCACTGTGTGGGGAGAGTAGTTCCAGTCTCATCTGCAGCTGGATCCAAGTACACCAGCAGGTCTAGGTGTGAGTGAGAGAGTGAATGGTTGTTTGTCTCATTTGTCTACGTGTGTCCCTGCGATGGACACCAGTGATCCCCGTGACCCAAAAAGGAAGAGATAGAGAGGGAGATAAAAAGGGAGGTTAGATAGAGCGATAGAGATGGATGGAACTCCACACACTCTGGACATTTTTGAATAGATAAAGCCTCCTGGAGGAGAAGCAAAATGTCTTCAGCTTCAGAATAGAAGTACATTCATACATTTCAATTCAATTTCAATTCAGTTCATTTATATAGCGCCAAGTCACAACAGAAGTCACCTCAGGGCACTGAACATCTGAGGAGCAGACTGCTTTGAGTTTAACTCCATCACAGAACTCTCATCTTGAGCAAGCATGAAGGCGACAGTGGAAAGGAAAAACTCCCTCATGAGGAAGAAACCTTTAGCAGAACCAGACTCAAAACAAGTGGTCATCTGCTTCAACCGGCTGGGTTTGAGAGGAACAGATACACAATGGAAGGTCAAGAATCGCGTTATCAATGGTATCAAATGAAAACTATCCAGTTTTAACAATTCATTTAAGGAAATGAGGTCAATTTGTCCTCTAGTAGTTTAAGCCTATGGCAACAATACAAGCTAACCCTAACTATAGGATTTATCAAAAAGGAAAGTCTTAATCCCAGTCTTAAAACTGGACAATGTGTCAGCCTCATGGACAGAAACTGGAAGTTGATTCCACAAGAGAGGAGCCTGATAAATGAAAGCTCTTCCTCCCATTCTGCTTTTGGAAACTCTAGGAACCACAAGTAAACCTGCAGTCTGAGAGTGAAGTGCTCTGTTAGGAAAATATGGAACAATGAGATCTCGAATATAAGATGGAGCTAGGTTGTTGAGAGCTTTGTAGGTTAAAAGTAAGATTTTGAATTCAATTATGGATTTGACAGGGAGCCAATGGAGAGAAGCTAAAACTGGAGAAATATGATCTCTCCCACTAACTCCAGTTAAGACTCTGGCAGCAGCATTTTGGATCAAATGAAGACATTTTAAAGAAGTATTTGAACACCCAGATAATAAACCATTGCAATAGTCCAGTCTAGATGTGACAAATGCATGAACCAGTTTTCTGCATCATTTTTAGATGTTTATGTGTAATTTCAGATTACACAGGTGGAAGAAGGCAGTTCTAGGAACATTTTTAATGTGGGGGATAAAAGACATGTCCTGATGAAAAATAACACCAAGATTTTTAACATTAGAGCTGGAGGACAGATTAATGCCATCTAAGGTGGGAGAAAGACTGAAAAATGTATTCCTAAGGTGCTCAGGTCCAAAAACTAAAACCTCAGTGTCTGTGTTCAAAAGCAGAACTTAACTTCTTTTCGATGGGTGTGCGGAGCACAGTTAAAATAATTTAACCCGTAGCAACCTTGATTTCTCACACATTGTGTATTATGTTTGAATTCGTTTTTTATTTGGAGCATATCTGAATATGGTCACGATACACCAAATGGGCCAGGAAGGACATCTGGTGTACAACGAGTGCTAAATATTTAATGTGAGTTCACTTGATGTGTGCAGAAAGAAGCAGCAGCAACATCCAATGCTCATGTGTCATACCTGATACATTAATATTTTAGGACAACTTTTACTTGTTGGGATTTGCCTTTTGTTAGAAATATTAAGCCCAACTTTAATGCATTGCTTTCATGTAAGCAGCTGTTAGGAGGTGCTTTTTACATCATCCCTCCTCACAGTCTTACTGGCCTGAAAGACTCAGTTAACACATGTTCAGCTCACAGGACAGTCAGAGATCTTACCAACAAAAACAAAACCTCCATCTACTTCCTTCTCGGCTGTTGACTTCTTTGAGTCCTTGCGAAGTCCAAGAAAATTCAACATTTTTCTTTTATCTAAACAACAAAAAAATAAACATGTCAGTGGAAGAGAATGTGAGCTGAAGTGTATAATTCAAGTTTAAATTAAAGTAACCTTTAGGTTTTGACCCAGTTACATGTCCAAAAAAAGCGCTCGGACTTTTATTGTTTAAAAGCATATTATAAACATTTAAACCAAATGTAGTTTAAAATGTTTTATAGAAGAGTCTTGTCTTTGTAAAGTGATCTTACTGTTGTGGCCTGTGAAGAGAGAAACGCTCATGAAGTCACTTCATGGTTGTTGTTGTGGGTCAGTGGTGCCACCCACGGTTCGTTCCTCCTCCACCGCTGCTCGGATACAATTATGTCCTAAACAACCTTCGCTCGGTTCTTTCTCCAGTAGTGTTTGTTATTTGGGTGACGACGCGGATAGCAATGATGTCCGTGTTTTTGTGAGGACTAATAATACGGCACTGATAGTTCTACTTCAAATTATTCTGCTTGCCAGGCGTGGCGGAACTATTTATCAACGTTTCTGGGGACTAAAATTCCGGAGCGCCGCGGAAGTGCCTCCGAACAAAATAGAGGAGCGCTCGATTTGAGCACTAAGCAAGCCGTCAAAGACAGCCCCCACATGTAAAATAGCGTGAATGAGGACACTCCGCCTTCGCGGGCTGCCGTTTAATAAATTAAGTTCACTCACGTTTCCAAGTTTCCCGCGCAGTGGTGTAAGCTAACGCAAGAGTTACCCGCGGAGATGGCAGGCATCCTGGACGTTCCCAAACCTAGAATAAACTGCTCGATGCTTTCGCAGCACATCAACCGACCGGTGTGCTTCGTCGGTCGTGTCGGAAAGGTGGTGTTACTTTGCACATAAGTTGAAGAATCATGTTGTTTTATACGTTTTCCTAACAAGATGTCTTCATGTGTACTTTGGCTCGTAGGTTAACCCAAGCGGTAAATCGTTTACTGTATCGGATGGAGAAGAAAAAACCGCAACAGTTGAACTAAATGAACCTGTGAGTACTGCACTTTAAAAACGGATTGGTTATTGAAGCTTGTCGAGTTGTCTAATTTGATGAACATCGATGTCTTCTGCCTTTTTCGCTTTTTAAAGTAGTGTGTCGGCCCTGTTTCTCAAATGAAAATATTAACTGGAAGAGTTTTATTCGGTTAGTGGCGGTCTAATGGAGATTTTATGAGGCAATGGAAAAAAATTAAACTTGCAGATTTTCAACATTAGTGTTTGTCGCCATCTGGTGGGCAGAAGTATGAAGTGCACAGCTTGAATGCACAACCTGAAGTGAGCTGCTCCATCCTGGTGGCCCATTCAGCTGTTTAACATTTCTGTGTAACATCTGCCTGTCAAAGTGCTGCTTTTAACATGTATTCTGTGAGAGAAAACATAAAGCTATGGTTAATTGATGAATTGTTGAGTGAATTGATGAATAGTTGTAATTATGTGATTAAAAGCTCCAAGACTCATCAAGAAAGACTCCCCCCAATCGACGTGATATACCAGTAGTTATCACTAAATAGACATCACATTTATGACATTAGAATAATTAATGCACTTTATGTGAATTACAGAATGATGGACTACAAAGAGGGGAAACGAGTAGAAAACAATGAGACAGAAAAAAGGTCAAATGTAGAAACTTTGGTGTTTTGAATATCAAACCAAACATTAAACGAAGCTCAGTCATATACTCAGTTTTTTAAATATTACCCGTGTAAAGAGAATCCAGGTCGGTTTTGTAGTTTTGCTCTTTTAACCACCCCTCACATTCTAAAACAAGTGGCCCACTACAGGTTTCTGTAAACTGCCCCAGGATTGATAATTTAATCTACTGGAATATTTTGTGAACACCTTCTTTAGTTTGAATGCAGTGCTTTTAAATCTTTAACCTGACATGTGTTCCTCATATATATATAATCTCAACGTTGCTCTCTTTGAACTGAAGTTAATTTTACAGAAATAATCCATAATAATCTATTCAATACAAGGTGAAGGCACAGGGGGGCTAGGGTTCAAATGATCTAACCCACAGGTGTCAAACTCAAGGCCCGGGGGCCTAATGTGGCCCTCATTGACATCTTTTCTGGCCCCCAAGATGATATGAGAAACGTGAAATACTTTTATCACTTAATTTTTTTTCAGTAATCTTTGATTATGATGTCGAAAGCACAACAGAACGTCAAATGAGACCAGTCAAACTCTTGTTGAGGAACCTGTGGCCAAGAAAAGATGCTGGTTCGAGTTAAAGTAGTTTCTGAAATTGGCCCTTAGCTTTGAATAAAAGGTTTTAATTTTGGCCCCCTTTTGTAATTGAGTTTGACACCCCAGGGAAGTTTCATGTCCATCAACAAAATGAAGTGGGGCAATTTAATCTGGTGTCTTTGAAGAAGATGAAGTTTAGTGTAAACAAAGTTGCATCAATACAATAAAGTATGGCGTCTCCAATGAACAGAGTAAACTCTGAATGTTATAAATTATTTACGTTTGTGTTAACTCACAGAGGCTGAATCTACCAGTCGAGGTTTATTTTTAATGTACTTTTTTGTTTTGGGAACTACTTCCTGTTTATTTCATCAACTTTGTAAATGTGCTTCATAATTAAAAGTGGATTGACAGGATAAACAAAATGGTTTAAATTGAGCTTTGTTTTTCCAGCTTGAAGAAGAACTGAGTGGCGTTGTAGAGATTGTTGGCATGGTGTCCAACAAAGGAGCGCTAATGGCCACCACGTACAACATCCTGCAAGAAGACAAGGGCGTCCCCTTCGGTATGTTTCATAATATGACTGACTAGTAAAGCAGGTGCGCAGCACTGAAGCAGGTGCACAACACTAAAGCAGGTGCGCAGCACTAAAGCAGGTACCCTACAGTAAAGCAGGTGCGCTGCACTAAAGCAGTTGTACTGCAGTAAAGCAGGTGCACTGCACTAAAGCAGGTGTACTGCAGTAAAGCAGGTGCACTGCACTAAAGCAGGTGTACTGCAGTAAAGCAGGTGCGCTACAGTAAAGCAGGTGCGCTACAGTAAAGCAGGTGCGCTGCACTAATGCAGGTGCACTGCAGTAAAGCAGGTGTACAGCACTAAAGCAGGTGTGCAATGTGCAGCAGTAAAGCAGGTGTACTGCAGTAAAGCAGGTGCGCTGCACTAAAGCAGGTATACTGCAGTGAAGCAGGTGTACTGCAGTAAAGCAGGTGTACAGCACTAAAGCAGGTGTGCTGCACTAAAGCAGGTGCGCTGCTAAAGCAGGTGTACTGCAGTAAAGCAGGTGCGCAATGTGCAGCACTAAAGCAGGTGTACTGCAGTAAAGCAGGTGCGCTGCAGTAAAGCAGGTGTACAGCACTAAAGCAGGTGTGCAGCACTAAAGCAGGTGCGCAATGTGCAGCACTAAAGCAGGTGTACTGCAGTAAAGCAGGTGCGCTGCACTAAAGCAGGTATACTGCAGTAAAGCAGGTGTACAGCACAAAAGCAGGTGCGCTGCACTAAAGCAGGTGTACTGCAGTAAAGCAGGTGCACATCACTAAAGCAGGTGCGCAATGTGCAGCACTAAAGCAGGTGTACAGCACTAAAGCAGGTGCACAGCACTAAAGCAGGTGTACTGCAGTAAAGCAGGTGCACATCACTAAAGCAGGTGCGCAATGTGCAGCTCTAAAGCAGGTATACTGCAGTAAAGCAGGTGCGCTGCACTAAAGCAGGTGTGCAGTGTGCAGCAGTAAAGCAGGTGTACTGCAGTAAAGCAGGTGTGCTGCACTAAAGCAGGTGTGCAGTGTTAAAGCAGGTGATCAGCACTAAAGCAGGTGTGCAGCACTAAAGCAGGTGAACAGCACTAAAGCAGGTGATCAGCACTAAAGCAGGTGCGCAGCACTAAAGCAGGTGATCGGCACTAAAGAAGGTGATCGGCACTAAAGCAGGTGATCAGCACTAAAGCAGGTGCGCAGCACTAAAGCAGGTGATCAGCACTAAAGAAGGTGATCGGCACTAAAGCAGGTGCACTACACTAAAGCAGGTGCGCTGCAGTAACGTTCATCTTGTGAATCATGGCTCTGTTTGTCATTCACAGATTTAGAACTCTACAATGAAGCTCTGAAGGTCATCCATGACTTCCCCCAGCACTACCCCTTCCAGGCGGCTGCAAGTGGATGAACCCTCCATGTTGAGATGTGTTGTTGTTGTTATTGTTGTTGTTGTGGTTTATTTCTGAGAGAACATGTAAAAACATTTCATTATAATCAATAAAAGTTAAATGTGTTTTGGAAAAAGACAAATCTTGGCCATCAGATATTAATCCTCAGCTGCCTCGATCATCTGCAGAAACTCTACTTTTCAACGTGTTCTATAATCTTTAGATATGAATATAGGGACTTTAATCTGTTAAGTTCAATTAATTAATTACAGAAAACAACTCGTTAAAAAGAAGTTTGTTTTTCAGCTGCACAAAGTTCACATTGTTTGCAGCGCAGAACTACTCTGGCTCTACTTTGTTGGGTGGGACTTTCAAAAATATCCTGATGGTCATTTGGTGGAGAAGAACACTTTCAGCTTTGTAAGTTGTAAACAAAGGATTTGGTTGATGCAGCACGTCAAGGTTAAGGTGCCTTAATGCTCCTGCAGGTAAACAAGGTGAGACAGAATTTATGATTTTTGACGAGGCAACTCGAGTGAATGGAGTCCCGTTAACTCGGGACCAGTGTGACCTCATGATGAAGGAAGTTTACAACTGGTTGTGTCCAACACAGTTAGCTCTTTGTTTTGATTTTCCATTAACATCTCATTTTGACCAGTATCTCACTGATGACAGGTAAGTGAAGAGTTTAATCCAAAACATGAAATAAAATAAATTTATACCTCAAAACGTAGAAATATGTTTAACCAATTGAAGTCATGATTTTTCACTTCTGTGTACAGTGGACTACAAAAGTTTCAACCACGTGTTCTATTTTGTAGTCTTGTATTCTGGATCGGCAATTCTGAGTAAAATACAAAAGCAACTCCAGATGAACAAAGTTAAATGGGAGAAAATGTATTTTAAATCGTTCAAAAATATCAAACGGATCAAATGTATTTGATTAACTCAGTGGGGTCGCATCTATAGCAAGATTTTAAGTTGTTTTGGAACATAAAGGTGTGCGTTCACACAGTGCCAAGTTGGAAAGACATCAGCAATGACCTTAGAGAAACAACTTGATGCTTTCATTTCCAGACTATCATTCTACAGAAACGTTCATAAGATTTAAGGCAGCTGCCAAGCTTCTCAGGAGTAGATTTCCTAGAAAATTCACCCCAAGGTCAGACTGTGCAGTGATTGGAGAACTGAGCATAGCCTCAACCAGCAGGTCAAAGGTCATGACAGGATAGTAAAAACTGAGGGGCTGCAGGAGAAAGCCTCTTCTCTCTAAAAATAACGGCTGCTCGACGAATTAGAAGACTTCTGGAACAAGAAAAAAGTATAGATGTTTACCCATAATGCACAGCAGCATGTCTGGTGAAAAGCAAACGGCTCCTAGCAGCTGTCAGCACGGTGGTGGAGGGATGATGGTTTGGGCTCCTTGCAGTCACTGAGTCCATCATGAACTCTGTGGACCAATATATTCTACAGATGTGAGAACATCTGTATGCTATGTGATGTTTCTTTTTTTTTCAAAGTACCGCACAAATATATTTCAAACTTAGGATAATAAAATTAGTGTTGTACCATTTTCAATGGGCCTGTAAACAAATTATATGTTTTATAAAAGAATAACAATAAAATCTTTATTTATCCCGCACTGGATAAATTCACACACACTACAGCGGTGGACCAGTAAGAAACTGTAAATATAAAAAAAAATGTAAGCACATAATAGTAATAAAATGCAAATTTGTAAAATGTTTTTTTTTTTTTTTTCTAACTGAACAGGCTGCTGCGGTTATCACGAGGCTCCGCCCTCCACGCGCTCACTGTGGGAGGGACTCCCGTTGCCATGACAATGACGTCAATGTTGGTGTCGAGTAACCAAAGGTCAAAATAAAGACAAGTGGATCAAAAAAACGGAAGTAAACTTAACAGGCTGGCCGGAAAATCGCAGAACAAACCGAGTTTAACGCAAAGCTGAAAGTCCTGAAGTGGTTGGACGGTTTTTTGGAGACAGAGTCTTGTTTCCCGCCGGTAAGGAGACGTCAACCCGCAGAAGGTTAGGGTCAGGAAGAAGCTAACAGCGGCTAGCTCTGTAGCTCAGGTCGTCGGTTAAACTGCAGCCTCTTTATTTTATTGTTTGCTTTGGCAGGGACTCGAACATCACAAAGTTACTTCAACTGGCTCGTTCGCATGTGTCTCACGACTTCTGCCACTTGTTTGTGTGTAGTTGAAGGTTCGTGTTAGTTGGCCTTTATTGTCGGTGTTTCCAGCTGTGTTCAGTTTGCTGTCAGTGTTCCTGAAGGAGCTGCAGATCACCTGTTTGTAGGACACAGCTCGCTCGCGAGGCTTTTCCAAGCAGTGCAGTTTGTCCTGAAACCTAAAGTTGTTTTTAACCTTCAGACATTCATTGACAAAACTCATTTACTGACATGTTGTTTTGCTCACTCTTCACTGTTGATTAGAAATGTATTTAGCTGAGTTCAAATGTTCATTTCATTAGGAGGGGTTTCTTTTTTTTATCTAACTACTTTTGAAGACTTTGTGCTAATTTAGCTCATTAAAATGCATGCTGTGATTTTTGCTTTTGTACTCTTTGAAATATTTAACTTTATTTACAAAATGTTTTCCTCATAGAAACACATTAAGAGCTCTTAAATTACTTCAAAAGATTGTTCTCTTTGACTTCCTGCTCTGTTTTTCTTATGCTACTTTTAGCTTTAGCTAGCCTTTTGCTACTTCAGTTTTTAGCTTGTAGCTAGCCTTTTATTACGTTTAGCTATCGTTTTGCTACTTTTAAATTTTAGCTACCATTCTGGTTCTGTTAGCTAGACTTAATAATTTGTCTGTTTTGCTAATTTTAGCCTGTAGCTAACTTTTTGCTACTTTTGGTTTGTAGCTAGTCTTCTGCTACTTTTAGCAGCCATTCTATTTTTTTTTTACCTAGCCCTTTGATAACCTTTAGTTTATAGCCTTTTAATATCTTTAACATGATTTTTGCTTCTTTTAGCATTTAGCTACCATTTTGAATCTTCAGCTTTTAGCTGGGCTTTTGCTACTTTGGTTTTCAGCTACCCTTTGCTCCTTTTAGCTCATAGCTACCACTCTGGTTCTTTAAGTTAACATTTTCACAACTTTCTATTACCATTGCCATTAGCTATCATTTTGCTACTTTGTTTTTAGCTCATCTTTTGCTACCTTAAGCTTCTAGCCAGCCATTTACTACTTTTAGTTTTTAGCAAACTTTCTGGTTCTTTTACCTAGCTGTTTGATCACTTTTATTTTCTAGTTAGTATTTTATTTAAATAAATTTAACTTTTATTACTTTTAGTTTTAGCTAGTCTTTGGTTACATCTTGTTAGCATTTTGCTACTTTGGCTTTTAGCTAACGTTTGCTACTTTTAGCTCTTAAGTCAACAGCATTCTGAGCATTGTTAATTATTCGTTGTGATAAGGTAAAAGCTGTGCCGTCACTTTTCACACACTTTGACAGAGATCAGGAGAAAGAGAACATTTTGGAGTGCCTCAGGGTACATACAGTCTGCCGAATGAAAAAGAAAAGTATCTTTTACCATGTAAGCGTCTAATGTTTAGTGTTTGTTTTGGTTGCTTATCTAGTCCCTGCTGTTGCTCCTGAACTGTGATGGTGTGGAGATGATCAGAGCTGGAATACAGAGGTGAGATGGTCAGTCCCTGTTGGCTAAACCCAACATATAATTTCATATAACAGGAACTCCATAATCTCCAACTCTGAGATTAACTGAGATGAAAACGTCATAGAAGGAAGTTCTGATGAAACGTTTGAGAACAGCTTCTCTGGTAGGCAGTAAAGAAATGTTGTTTATTGTGAACCGCTGGCAGAGACTACTTCCAGCTTTCATGAATGAATGGTTGGAAGAGATCAGCTGTTTGCCTGCTGGCTGCATCAGTCTGCCTGGAATGGGATAAAGCACTAATGATTGATAACTGTTCAACTTTGCTTAAAATTGACCAAACAGTTCCTCTAAGGGTAAATTAAACTGGTTACGTTTTTCACCTGGACATCTGATGTTCAGTCGTACACAGAGCTGAAGTGACGAGTCGGTAGCTTGAGCTGTAAACATCCCCGACTGGAAGCTGTCCATCCACAGAGCTTTCAGTCCGATGTTTGCTGTTGCCAACTGCTTCGTGCCGCACAGAGCAGAACCACCTGAACCAGCGCAGAACCACCTGAACCAGAGCAGAACCACCTGAACATCGCTGGGCGTCTCCCTCCCCCTCTTTGATGTCATCGGCGTCTTTCCCAGATTTGATCGTTTCCTCCATACGTTCTGTCCAGACTCCGTTCATGTAAACATCCTACACTCAGCTGAAATCGGTTGCAGCGGCGGCTGAGAGAAGGTTGTTTACGTGCACTGGCTGGGACTAACACCTGGACTCAAACATCTGGATGCTGACACCTTCATCAAGAGCACATTTGACAGACCCATCATGGAAAACAGTGTTTATATGCTCGTCTCTGCTGTTCTTTTGATGTTTTTCGGACATTCTATTTTAATCTGAACTTTTATGTCGAATGCAAAGATATAACCAGGGTTCACAGTCTCACGTATGGAGCTGATTGGAACATTTTCTACGTCTGAATAAGTATGGGAAAAAGGAAAGAGTATTAAAAACATCAAATGAGCATTAAAGCAGGTAAACTGAAGGATTTTTGTAGTTTGGTTGTTAATTCCTGTAACATGCACTGATTACCTCATGCTGCTGTATTCATTCATACATCTGCTCACCACAGACTCATGTTCAGGCTGCTGTTTAGTATACTGTATTATTTTACATTATTAGTGTTTAGCGCATATCTTAGATCAGGACTATTCAACTAAATTGCTCAGGGGGCCACAGTTATTCAAAGCCAAGAGCTCAGGGGCCGGACATCTTTCAGTTAGAGTCATTAAGGAAATTAGTTTTATGGTTTAAAATCTAAATTTATTTAAAAATGCGCCCAGTGGTGGGTCGAACTGAGCTCATCCGTGGGCCTGATTTGGCCCCTGGGCCGCCAGTTGAACAGCCCTGTCTTAGATCATTTAGCATACTGTTTAGCATATATC